GGGGGATGGGAAAACACCTCTTATCAACAGGGTGCCTGAATGAAACGTAATTGTACACCTAACCCTTAACTGTTCCCCACAAAACCATAATAAAAAATACTGATTAATGAAAAAAAAAGAAGTCACAGGAATATATTTGCACCAGACATGACAATGATGTATTAGTAACTTTATTATAAAGCATTTATACGGCTCAGTAAGACCAGATAAATGACTGAAAGACAAAACTAGGTAATTCACGAGAATAATGTCAACAGAATAATGAGTAGCTTTGCTAGTACTCAAAACAAATTCAAGCTAAAATAAACACATTTTCTTCCCCTACTCAGTAAACATTCAATGTCCACTTGTATTTTCTCTCCCCTACCCTCTTCCCTTTCCTTCCCCGCTTTCCTTAGAGGTCCTCAATTAGCACTGCTATCCATTTAGAACAGTTTTAATCTAGCCCTTTCAAATTTTCCCTTTTGGAAAACATTGTGGCTATATATATAATAAATCATAAAAATGTCAACATTCTACCTTCCTTCCTCCCACTTTAAAAACAATAATCTGAGTAAATGATTCTAAATCAGAAAAGGCCATGTTTGTTGCTGTGGAATGCTAGGTCAATAGTAAGTTCAAAAGCGGAAGTAAAAAAGTGTCTAACAGGAGAACAGCTAAGTTAAAGTTGGCAAATAAGCACTGCAAACCTATCTACCACTTTATGAAAATCTAGATGGTCGCTAAAATAAAGAAATAAAGATGAAGAAACAAAGTGTGTGTATTAAATGAAACAACAACAACAACAACAAAACGCCACAGGACAGGACAATGGAACTATTTCTAAACCGAACTTCTAAAGACCAGGTAGAAACACGCCAAAAATGTTAAGTTATCAGAATCTCCAAATCCAGGAATCTACAGTTTAAAACACTTCCTTAGATGATTTAGATGCAGTCACACACAGTATTTGAGAACAACTGCAACGGAAGAAACTCTTACACCTATAATTCAACTTTCAAAATATTCTAACCTTAATCTGTCAGGTGAATAAAACTGCTTTAATAAACCAGGAACATAATGGGTACTGGCAAGACATGTAAATGTCAAAATATATTTAAAAGTACCTCAGAAAATGCCTAGGGCAGCAAAAGGTTAGTCTGTGATAAAATATTCCTTTTCAAAAGGACAATTCTCAAATATAGAATTTTCCTTACAGGTAGAATCCTATTACAAGAGCTCGAACCTGGATAAAATGGCATTTAGATAAACATGTATCTACAATTTTTCCTACCTTTAGTGATTAGCTTTATTCTACAATTTTGTAACTTATAAAAGCCAGAGCTGATAGAGCTGCATACTTGGGAGGCAGAATTTATCATAGTGAGCCTGGATGCTTTCCAACATAAAGAAACAAAATCATTCATAGCCTAGCACGTACACAAAAATTCATGAGCCACTTTTTATCACTCTGTTGCAAAATAAAATTCAAAATTCTGAGTAACTAGAAAAAGAAAAGTATCAGTTTATTGAACATATGCAATAAAATATTTCTGCTACGTTATACAAGTAATTACACAAGAAATTTCTGTTAAAAATTATAAAGACTAGAACTCACAACCTGAATTCAAATTTAAGTAACAATAAATGTGAATACTCTAGAAGTCACTAACCATTTAAAGTAACCTAAGAAGGTATTTCTAAAATCAGTCTACTCTGTACCAGTTTTCACTTGGTTTCCATTTTAGCTAGCTAAATTCTGACATGTCTTTTAAATTAATTAAGCAAACAATCAAGTCATCAATTAACTAAAATAAAATAACCATTAAACTCAAATGAATAGTCATAACAGCAGTTAATGTTTGCATGCTTATTATGTTATCAGGTATTGTGTTAAGCTCTTTATATCATGTTTTATTTCATTTAATCCTCAAACAACAAAAGAATTTCATAAAAAGGTAATTACTGCCTAAAAGGCATCCCTTGTGTTTATAGATTGTAGAACAATGTTCTACCCTGGTAACTTCTGTAATCTCTCACCATGAACATTTTTTAATTGGCTAGACAACTCTATGACAAGCTCAAGGTCTGGCTTACAAACAGAAAGATATATATACAAAAGGACCTTGGGATTCCTTTAAATCCACAATGTTTTCAAGTCTAAGATAGATACATAAATTTTCAAGTCATGCCTTTGAATATAGTGATCTTTGGTTTCTGGCTTGGTTCTGATTATCTCTCCACAAAACATCCTTAAGAAATGACTGTAACTTTACCAACACTTCTAGATTCCTTGCAACTTACATCACAGGTCTAAGAAGTTGTGAATGTGCATGTCTATGTCTATTTGCAGCATGGGGTGGAGGTAAAGTAGAAACGCCATGACAACAAACAGAAATTAAGACCAAACATGGAATTCAATTATATCCAAAAAATATTTTACAATTTATTTCTGGTATTACCCTCACGGATCCTACAAAAACAAACTAGCTGGTTTTAACTAGCAGAGTTCCACGAGTTCTGAGTTTACATTCCACAATAATTAACATCTACTCAACCTTCTGCTCTAGCAAATCCAAGGACCATTAGGCCTCACAAAACACATACAGAACCAATGCCCTCTTGGAGAAAGTTGTAATATAAACAAACAAATAGGTTCAAACCCAACAAAAATCATGAATGTTTACCTGGTCTGAGAGTATATAGGCCTTTCACAATATTTGCCATAGTTGAAGGTGTGACCTGAAATGGTGTTGACTGGGCTTCTAAAAGTAAAGCTGAAATAAGAAGAGAAAACAGGTTTAAAAGGATGTAACACTAACTGATTATCAAAATTTCTTTCTATTATTATCTTTTTCAAAGACTGAAAGGAAAAGTCCCAGAAAAGAATAGCCCAAAGGACAAATCCAGTACAGTCGCTCAATCTAACAGGCTAAACTGCTGGCACACTAATGGAAATTAATCACTTTATGGAGGTTCTGAAAAGAAGCAAACCTTTCTAAAAGCAAGAGTTTTCATAGCATATAGTGAGTTGAAAGTGCTTCCATTACATGTGAAGAGTAAAATGACATACAATTAACTCCCTCAATCATTTCTCCTTCCCCTAAATCACCATATCTGAGGGTCTTCTCATTTTACTAAAAGACAAGAATTAGTAATTTTAGTAACTATAATCAGAGACAGAAGCTTGCCTTCCCAAATGCTATAGCTGCTACTTTTTTCTTACTAAAACTAAAGGTAAGAAATGATGATGGCTCATGTTTTTCATGACTTTGGTAACCACATGACTCTGACTCTGACCATAACAGAGTTAGTTTTCTTTCAAGCTATCTACTGCCACACAAACATAATAATTCCTCTAGATAGCATCACTAAACAGATATAATCGAATTCCATTTTTAGTAGATACAGCTGATACTATTGACCTAAAACAGTTCATTTTTAATGTATCCCTCAACAACCTGCCATTTACTAATAACACCAGCAAAAAACCTTGGCATTTTATTCTAAGCCAACCTTGTAAAGTCACATATAAGTTGATTTTCCTCTGTCCATGCCTTTCTATAAACAGAAGCATCATCTTACTTGGCTAATGAGTTTATAATTTCAGACACACCATGTGAGTTACATCTGAATTTGTAGGATAAAAGTCATCAGAGAATGCACTGTTCAAGTTTACCCTTCCAATTTTATCTCATTGGTAAGATAATTGCAATTTTTAATGAAATAGGTAAATTTTAAGGATAGCATTTCAGAAAACCAAGTTACTTCAAAACACAGTGTTTAAAATTTTAATTCTAAACGTTAGGTTATCAGTGTCTTTTTTACTCAAGGTTCTAATTTTAACATGTATCCAGAATCCAAGTTTTCTTTCTGTATTAATCCATCTTCCTACTTTTTCAGCAGTCACTTTGGCCTTACTCCTACTAATTCTTCATATTCAACCACATATTTATTATGTGGTAAAGTATATACAATTACTAACAATCCCTACCTAACTATAATCACCAATGTTAAACTTGATAGTTATGAAGAAATGATAAATTAAACTATAACACAAAGACATACATAAAATGTATACAAATTAACTTGAAATAAATTAATTGAAAATAATCATGTTAATAACAAAAAATTATTAGAGTTGAGAAGGTGTTGCAACATTTCACTAAAATCTTCTCCATCTGAACTCCTGTCAGGAAAACAGTGTTTAAAATTTAATAGTTTCTAATTAGTTTCTTATTTTAAGGAAAAAGAAATGGGAATTTGGAAGGGGTAACTTGAGAGAGGAAAGAAAATATTTATTTTTCTCACGTATGTTTAGTTAAAGCTTTATTTATTTATTTATTTTTATTTGTTTATTTTTTTTAGTTGGAGTCTCACTCAGTCACACAGACTGGAGTGCAGTGGCACGCTCCCAGTCACCGCAGTCCCAACCTGCTAGGCTCTGGCGACCCTTCTGCCTCAGCCTTCCAAGTAGCTGGAACTACAGGCGCGCACTACCACGCTTGGCTAATTTTTTATTTATTTATTTATTGTAGAAATGAGGTCTCGCCAAGTTGCCCAGGCAGGTCTCGAATCCGCGGGCTCAGGCAACCCACTCACCTTGGCCTCCCAAAGCACGGGATTACAGGCTGAGCCATCGAGCCCAGCCTAAAGCTTTATTTACTTTGGGATTTCTCACAAGCTTTATCATCATCTACTTTTTTTTTCAACAGATAAGGAAACTGAGGTTAGAAACAAAACAAAATAGCAAAACTCCAGTGAATAATTTATCCATAGTCACAGAGTTAGGTGGAGGCAGAAGAGGTCCAAGAACTTGTGTCTCACTCTAAATTCTGTACTTTATTTCACCATACCACCACTAAAATGCTCATCTTATATGCAAGAGGTATACAAAGTATTTCCCTTAATAACAGTTTTCTTCTAAAAATCATATATTAAAAAAACAAGTATCCCATACTGACAGATGTCAATAAACTATACAGTTTAAAAACTAGAATAGGTAACTTTTAATCCAAATCACTTTCTTTACAGATTCTGACAAGTTAAGTGTCTTGCTGAAAGTCACACATCTTTTTAATACCTGAATGGAGACCAGAACCAAGCTCCTCTGCTCTTTCAAGTATTCCTCAGTGCTACAAGCTTGCTCAGGGACTTCTCTGTTATTTTGAGAAGCAATTCTTAAAATCAAAACTAAACTAAAAATACTCTTGTTGACTTCAAAAAATCTCAAACTGCAAGCATTTGAACTAAAAGGGAGGCTTTCCTAAGGCAATTAACTCAAATATAATCATTAAAAACTCTCTATACAAACTGAACTATGGATCTTCTATTGCAAAATTCTGCATATCACATTTTCCCAGGAAATTTCTACCATTAACTGACTTCATTGCTACATATTTATTCTGTCACATTTGCTCAAAATCACCAACACAATACTATGTAGATGTCTTGATTAATGTAGATCCTAGTAGTTCTGCTGTTTTCAGAGTTTAATTCAAATAAAAATTAATTTAAAAGAAAAAAAATTTTTTTACTACACCCAAAGAGAAGCCACATTATAAGCAAATATGTATAAAAAGGAATATATCATGGAGCTGATAGAATACTAGCTTTATATCAAATGAGAAGGCACTGTCTTCTTTTGTGAAACGTACTACCATTCAAGTACCAATTCTTTAGTAGAAGAGAGAGTGTTCATTTTGCCTTATTGTATTGATTTTAAGACATGGCTCCCAAATTCTTTTGATATGCCTCCCATTGAGAGGTGGAATCCAGTAAAATACAGCAAACGAGCCCAGGTCTTAAGAAACAGGCAGTTTCCATTTCCCGTATCTTAGGACACTCTCATGTGGAGGAAACACGAGAGGAACCAAAAGTTAGCACCAACTTACCAGCAATGTGAATGAGCCACATTGAAAGCCCAGCCCCCAACTGAGCCACTTCAGCCAGCGCTAAGTAGAACAGAGATAAACTGCCCACTAAGCCCTCCCAAACTGCAGAGCAAAAAAAAAAAAAAATTGTTGTTGTTCTAAGGCACTATGTTTTTGGATGATTTGCTACATAGCAATAATAAATGAAACACTAGCATTTCCAAATGTATCTGAAGCCATGAGAAGAAAATTACTCATCAGATTGCATAAAATCACAGAAATTGAGTACAGTTATTTGTTCTCTTGGAATAAGGGGTAAGCGATAAGAAAATGTGCAAGTAGACACATCAATCACTAATAGTTGTGTTATTATGGTTTAAGTTTAACCTTTCTTTGCCTCAGTTTCTCTATCTATAAAATGGAGGTAAAAATTGTACCTATCTTACAGGTACAATTAAATAAGCTAATATTTGTAACGGATCTGGGGAACACCTCACACATGTGAGTGAATGTGTGTGTGTGTGTATGTGTGTGTGTGTGTGTGTGTGTGTGTGTGTAAAAATCTTTTGATGGTTATCCACAAAAGACTGTTAAACATTTACAGAGTCCCTTATTGTTCTGAAGCTTGAACCAATGAGGTGCACAGTCACTTTGTCACTTACTCTAAGTACAATGCCTGATGACTGCTCCATAAATATTTGATAAACAGTTTTTTTCCAATTTATAAAAGCTTACGAGCCCTTTCAATTTACTTGGAAGAGAAAAAATACATCCACCTTTAACTGTAATTTTTATCGATAAACCAGACTATGTAATAAACAAAAGAAATAAGTAATCTGTTTCTGTTTTCCCTCACCAGTTCTGAGCTACTATATTCTCTTTTGACTATTCTCTTTGTATGCATCTAATAAAATTAATTTCTAAGGCCAGGCTCATGGCTATAATCCCAGCACTTTAGGAGGCTGAGGTGAGAAGACTGCTTGAGCCCACAGGTTTGAGATCAGTCCAAGCAACTTGCGAGACCTCATCTCTACAATAAATCATAAAATTAGCCAGGCGTGTTGGCACGCTCTTGTAGTTCCAGCTACTTGGAAGGCTGAGGCGCAAGGATCACCTGAACCAAGCAGGTCGAGGCTGCAGTGGCCATGAGCATGTCACTGCACTCAGCCTGGGTGACAGAGTGAGACTCTAACTAAAAAAAAAAAAAAAATTAATTTCTAAATTACTGGCAAATATAAAAACATATTTACAAAGTAATTATACTTTTCTACCAAATGGGAGCATTTCCTACAGAATTTTAATAAGGAAGACTTCAAAATGTTGTGCTCTATTTTGCAATGAAAGCAAAAAGACAATGTCAGCATCAGAGAAAATACTTAAGTGGTTATAATTAATAGCTGGAATATCTCATGAGATACTTAAAGCTGTTAATAAACATCTCTCCAGTCTCAAAAAAAAAAAAAAAAAAATGCATGTCATACTCCCAAAATTCTAGGCCTCTATTCTGATTCTGGAATTTCTTAGGAATAATGAAAGATATTATTATCAAGTATGCTACTATTTGAAAACTCTGACTTTCTAAAATAAACTGGCCCAGTGTTCAACAATTCCTTCACTTAAATTAATATCAAAAGTGGGAAAAAAGTTTGTAGTTAAGCTTAGAACAATTCTTTTGAAAATTCTGGTAAAAGTTAATTGTGGTCAACACTAATTATTGTTAATAAAAAATACATTCTGCAAATTCAAGTTTTGTCAAATTCTAAAAATGACTTGATGGTATATTGCATAAAATATGAGTTTTTAAAAGATGCTGAGGCCGGGCGTGATGGCTCAAGCCTATAATCCCAGCACTTTGGGACTGCCTAAGCCCGGGGGTTCAAGCCCAGCCTGGGCAACTTGGCAAGACCTCATCTCTACAATAAATCAAAAATTAGCCAGGTGTGGTAGCACATGCCCGTAGTTCCAGCTACTTGGAAGGCTGAGCCAGAAGGACCACCTAAGCCTAGTAGGTCAAGGTTGCGGTGGCCGTGAGCATGCCACTGCACTGCAGCAAGGGTGACAGAGTGAGACCACAACTAAAAAAAAAAAAAAAAAAAAAGATGCTGAGACATTAGGTTATAGGGACTTCCTAAACTCTACCTGGAAAGATATATTCTTTTAGGAAAAGTAGGATGAAATGCTTACCTACTGTGAGATGGAAGAAGGTCCGAGAATGGGGAGAGGAGAAACTAACTGAGCTTGGTACTTTGATCTACTTACTTCATAATCTAGATAGCCACATTAAATAGTATACAAATCCTCATTCACAGAAGAAAAAAATGCAGGGCCACAAGAGGCAAAGAAGCTTGCCTAAAATACATAGTAAATGACAAAGACAGACAAAAGAAAGATTTCTGCACTAAAGAGTAAAAATCAGAGAGGATTCTTAAAGATTTAGCACTGCACTCCTAGAGTTATTGGTAATAAAGTTAGGAGTGAATATCCTAATATTTCCTCTATCATTAGAACAAAAAAGGGCATCATTGTCTAATGATCTGACTAAGATGCTCCCAGCTCACCAGGTGACCTTCATGCCACATTTTTAATTCCTCATTGTCCCTCCCTATAAAGTAGGCTTCAACACTTTCTGGTATGTGGTTCAGAAGATGTCAACACTGGGGTTTATATCACAATGATCTCAGACCAAAAAAAAGGAAAGAAAAAGATCATTGCTAGTATTATGTCACCCCTATAAGAAGTTGAATTACTTACGCATTAGGCTGTAAATGTGCTTTTCTGCAACATGTTCCGTAAACAGCTTTATAAGGTCATCTTTTAAGTCTCTGTTAAGCTTGGTTTCGATGTAAAACTTATTCTGAAAAAGAAAATAAATTCTTCTTCATATATCAATTGGGAAAAATGATTATTATCTAAAAAACTGAAGCACTAAATACTATTTTAAAAAACAATGCATAAAGGTATCAATTAAAATTATTTTAAAAAGCAATGCATAAAGGTATCAATTAAAACAAAAAATCAAAAATCAAAAAAAAGCCCACTATTAGTTACATGCCTTTCTGGTTTTCTTTTTGAAAGCATTAAAAGAAAAAGTGCTATGAATCATATGTCCAATACCCAATATTCACCAGACAGGGATGTACAGACGTTATGGAACCAAACTATATGACATGCCCTCTAAAAATACACCATCACCTAAAGGCAACAATGGAAAACAATAATAAGGTGGCCCATTGGTCAGTGATGTGGGCTGAAAGCAAGCAGTAGACATGCACTGGCTAACTCCCCAGTACATATTCAACTTCAATGATTAGCTGAAGTCATTCAGCTTAAGATATTCCCTAGGGACGATCTTTGGTACAGAAGCAGAAACTCAAGGGAGCCCAATCAGATTTAGAGAAACCTTGGCTTGAGGGAAAAGTTTCTTGCAGCCATCTTATATCCATGAGGAAAATAAGTTAAAATAGATGTGTGCAGCAAAGAGACAAATAAAAACCTGAGTCCTTGGTGACACTATGAAACCACAAATTCAACCAACTCTGGAGACAATCTTATTTCTAGAGTACTATTACAAGAGATAATATTTTTTCTTATATACATAAATCACTTTGAATCACATTTTGTTGCTTGTAGTCAAAATTCTGACCAGAATAACTGGCAAGTCAAAAAAGATTGAATGTATTCATGTTTAAGTGTTAACTCAATGCGTAAGAGTAGAAATACGAGGAATATTAACAAGCTGCTCACTGATTCTCTCTTCTTATTTATTTATTTATGTATTGAGTTGGAGTCTCACTCTTGTCTCCCAGGCTGGAGTGCAGTAGCATGCTCACGGCTACTGCAGCCTCAACCTACTGGGCTTAGGTGATCTTTCTACCTCAGCCTTCCAAGTAGCTGGAACTATAGACACACGCCACCAGGTCCGGCTAGTTTTTGGGATTTGTAGAGAAGAGGTCTCACCAAGTTACCCAGGCTGGTCTCAAACCCCAGGGCTCAGGCAATCCTCTCACCTTGGCTTCCCAAAGTGCTGGGATTATAGGTTGAGCCATCACACCCGGCCTTATATATTTCTTTAAAGTTATTTTTTAGACAAGGGTCTGCCTATGTTGCCCAGGCTGGTCTCAAACTCCTGGCCTGAAGCAATCCTCCTGAGTAACTGGGATTCCAAGAGCGAGCCACATACTTGGTCAGTTAATTCTTAACAAGCTTTTTTTTTCTTTTTCTTTAAAAAATTAAAAGACACATATGGTTAAAAAATAAAAAGCACGTAAAAGGGTACGCAATAAGTCCCCCAACACAGACCCCCTGTCCCATCCCCAAAAGTACCATTCTATACAGGGAAAACTTTTCTATATTCTTTTCTTTTCGAGTTGGAGCTTCACTCTGTCGCCCAGGCTGAAGTGCAGTAGCACACTCCCAGTCACCATAGCCTTGACCTGCTGGGCTCAGGCGATCATTATGCCTCAGTCTTCCAAGTAGCCTGAACTACAGGCATGTACTACCACGCCCCACTAAATTTTTTTTAATTTATTGTAGAGACAAGTCTCACCATGTTGCCCAGGCTGGTCTCGAATCTTTGAGCTCAGGCAATCTTCTCATCACCTCAGCCTCCAAAAGTGCTGGGATTATAGAATTGAGCCACCACACCCAGACTCTATATTCTTTTAAAAATGATCCTTGCATATATATGGATTTGCTTTTTTCCCCTCTAAAACAGAAAATACACTGGGCAACCCCTTCAGGTCCCCTCCCACTGGGAGCTTTTCTGTCTACTCAGTAAATCCTGCTTTTCCACAAAAAATAAAAATACTCAATAATGAGAAAATATTACACACTGTTTTGTACCTTGCTTTTCACCTATTTTAGATGATTTTTCTCTAAAAGAACATGCAAACATTTTTCACTGCATATTTTCTTCTACTGTGTCTTCCATAAACTATTTACACAATAGTTCCCCCACTGATGATTTTACTGATTTTCCCCAAGACACTGCTATTAAAAACCATATTGCACACCTCATCAAGGATACCTACATAATCTACATTTGTATATCTAACCCTGAATTGTACACAGATTTACAATTTTAAAAACTGTATAATTCTGACATGTATTTGTATATATTTATGAGTTTATTTGTACAATAAATCCCTAGAGGTGCAGCGGCTGAGTCAAAGTTTGTGCATTTTTAACTTTGAACAATAATATCAGATAGTCTTCCAAAGAGGTTTTAGCAATTTATATTTCCACCAAAAGTGTAAGGAGCTTTTTTTGCTACAGATTCATTGAACCAACTATCAAAACTCTTCAATTTCACTAACTGAAAGAGGTTAACAAAAAAAAAAAAAGTTATTTTAATTTCAATTTCTTTAATTATGATGTTGGATATATTTTTATCTTTATAAGACACTCATTTTTTTTCTGTGAAGCTCTATTCATATCCTCTGTTCATTTTTAAAAAGAAATATAGGGTTATTGGTCTTTTTCCAATTAATTCATAAAAACTAAATATCAAGAAAAACAAACTTCTTATGTTTTACAAATGTATCACAATTTTCTTCCACCTACTTTTGGGTTATGGTATATTCTGTTGCACAAAGATTTTTAAATTTTATGTTGCCATAGTCTAATATTTTCTTTCATGACTTCTAGGTTTAGATCTCATTTAGAAAGGCCTTTTTGCACTCCAAGAATGTGTATAATTTCTTCTAGTTCTCTAATACTTCATTTTTCTAAACTTATTCCATTTTGAATTTGTTATAAAGAATAAAGTAGTGATCAGATTCCCCTACCTTCAACTCCAAATGACTACCAGTTGTCCTAATACCAGCTCTGGGATAATCTATTCCTTCCTAATTTGAAATATCACTTTTTTCTTCTTAAACTCCCACATTTACTTCAGTCTATTTCTAGGCTCTGTTCCCTTGATCTATCCTTACATCAATGACAAACACTTTTAATTACTGTAGCCTTCTCATTCATTTCAATATCAGGTAGAAAAAAGTCACCTCTTATTTGTCTTTTAAAGAAATTTGTTTTCAATTTTATCACAGGAGATTAAGTTAACTTTCTGCTATATTTCATTTCTAAGAATTTCTTCTTTTCACCTTTGAAAATAGCTAGTGAAAGTTTATTGTTAATCAAATTAATAGATATTTCAACTATAAAGCTGCTTACACAACTAAGATTTTTAAATCAAAATTCAGACCAAAAGTTGACTTGGCAGTATATGTTAAAATCTTCAAACTAAATCAGGCATCTCTCTGAGACTTTGTGGTTTATATACAATAATAAGAGATAATATTTATTATCTCCCAAAGGAAATTCTTCATTTATAATGTTTTCCTCTCCTGGTATATTGCCCTATTAATATTTAAGACCCTAATGCACAGTATTTTAATGTGCCCTTACTACTCTTTACTAAGTAACCAGAAACCATAAAAAAAAAATAGTATGAAAATTTCAAAAGTACTTGGAAACACTAGTTATTCCACCTCTTTAAATAACAGAGGACATTCAACTTTTTCTCAGGTATAGTCAGTTCCAAAACTCTAAACAAAAATACCTGATGACTTTATTTGACCTCTGCCTTTCAGCAAGAATCTTTTCTAGTAACTTAAGTCTCAGACACAGTTTACTTCCTAGTTTAATGACTTGATTTCTAATATTCATATAGACAAATCTCTAACAAATATACTACTTTTGCTAATTTGTTTCTGTAATTACAAAGGACATTTTGCTGATTATGGGCCTAACAGGTTAACATTTCCAGCTATTTAAGTAATATACTTTCCCAACAAAGCAGTACCAAAGTTCAAAGAATTTCTGTCTTCTGGACAATAATAACAATTTGCATAACAAATTTTCACAAATAACTAGAAAGTAAATTCAAGCTCTTAATCGACAAGAAAAGCTGTAGCTAAGTTTCACTTCACAAAAGTAAGAGCCTTTACTTTAATTTTGCTAGCTAGAAGAATAACTTTGAAGTTCATTTGTTCTAAAATGATACAGACTTCATAAACCCTAGGGGGATTCTATCATAAAGTTTAAGACAGCAACAATGGTATTACAGAAAAGTGCAAATCACTTTCATGTCTTATTTAGTTGTTTTTTTTTTTTAAACAAATTACCTATTCACGTTTTTGACTCAAAATCCAAGTCATGAGAAGTTAAACTTTTTTAATTACTAACCTACCTAGTCAACATACTTTATGGTAAATGCCATTAAAATGGAAGATACAGAAGTAAGAAAACCTATTCACCCACCCTTAACTCCCTTATTTACAAATAAAGCCTGTCTCTCAGTTCTACTTCTATTCAAGGTCTCCACTGAAAAATTTAAAACACCAAGAATGAGGAGTTTGCTAAAATAGAAAGAAAATATTTGGTCTATCAGTACAAGATATTTACCTGACATACATGCCTGATGAATACCCTATTAAGATTTCACCAAAATGATACAGTAAGTCTCCTTAGCAGGCATTCTCTTTCCAAGAAGTTAATTCTGCTGACCCAGAAGCACCTATTCCTAATATCATCAATAATATTTTCCATTAGTTTCATGATGCATAAAAGAGTTCTGGAACTTAAAAAAAAAAAAAAAAGCCTTTTTATCAATGTCTTTTTTGGTAAAAGACGAGGCAAAATCCAGTTCCTTCTGCATTAACTAGCAAATTCTTGCTAACTTTTAAAACTGTTGTCAGTACCCAAGAAATAAATAAGTAGAAGATGAACATCATGAAGTACTACAAGATCTCTTGGAAAGTGCCTTCAAATCAGAGGTAAAGATAGTTTTTTGGTTTGTTTGCTTGTTTATGGTAAGTAAAACTTAAAAAAAGTAAAATACATTTGTATTTTATAGAGAATGAGTCATTTTCAAGACTGGTATCCACATATAGCAATCTATATGCTAAAAAATGTAGGATCAACATAAACATACCATTCACTAATCTAATAAACAAAGAGAAATTGGGATAATGGTTTCTAAGGGCCGTTCCCTTCAACAGGAGCATTAAGACTCTATGACTCTGTATATTTAAAACAGGGAGAAAGCTAATCAACAAAGTCATGGTCTACAATTAATACTCATGGCACAACTCTCCAAACAAAAAGAGATCATCAGAATAGAAGCAATATTTTATTGTGCTACTTCTTAGGTAATGACTTACTTGGCATTTATCAAACATCATCTTTTTAGATACATGCCCTTAACTCTCTACTTTCTGAGAGCAAGAATTCTTATATATCTTTATTTTCCCAGAACCAAACCACAATGTCTTCCACATGGCAGAAATAAAATAAATGCTCACTGGGTAATTGTTGATCATTAATGTTTACTTGTCTATTCCGCAAATGTCATCTATGGCATTTCAAAACAGGAAAAGGGAAAATAATTCTTCTATATCAACAACTATCAAATATTACTGAAATAATTTAACTCCCATTTCTAACACAAAATATAGCAAAAGAAAAACAGACCATGCTTAACTCTCTGCATCTATATGTGCTTAGAACAATACATCTAGGTATTTAGGAAGGAGGACATAGCTCTAACTTACCATATATATGAAAAGAGGCACAATGCTCTGCAATGCTCCCATATATTGTCCAAGAGCTATATTAAACCTTTCAATATAGAGATCTGGAGGGCTGGCCTGTGAGAAACAACAAAAATGCCATCATTCTAGTAAACCAGGTAAAAGATCTTTCACCACAATCTGAAATGCAAACACTTATTAGCAGGATTCCAAAATCATACTGAGATTCACAATGAAGAAAAGGAAGATGCTTATACTCCTAAAAGTTAGTTAAAACTTCTTTGCTCCAAAATCTGCTATGTAAAACTGAGGTTTGGTTTAGCCATCTTTAAAAATTATACCCTTAACATGTTAATTAAAAGGTTTGCTCTCTTAACAAGTAAAAAAAAGCATTCCAAATTAAGATATATAATATGATTTTTAAAATTATCACTTAATTATACAGACATTTTCTATGGAAATCAAACTATACTTAAGCCTGAAATGGTAGGGTATGGAGGGAGAAATTCAAAGAAGTGGTATAGGCTTAATATACTATTAGAATGACTAATGAATTTTTAAAATTACCTTAGACACAGTGATCTATGCTAACTTGGTTATAAACTGCTTCTGCAGCTAATCAATAATAAATATTATTAGCTAGAAAGGACTTAAATGGTTCATATACATATGCAGCTTTAGAGAGCAATAAAATATTATACGTGCCTCACATTAACTCATAGTTACAAAATACCAAGTCACAAAGTCATCAAAAGAAAACACTTTTAACTTTATTGTATGTTATGGGCTAAATGTATATGTATCTTCAAAATTTATACGTTGCACCCCTTACCCCCAGTGCTGCCATATTTGGAATAAGGAAGTAATTAAGAATACGTGAAGTCATAAAGGTGGATCCGTGATCCTACAGGATTAGTGTTCTTATAGGAAGAAACAGCTGAGTGTGAGCGATCGCTCCCCACATCCTCCACGCAGCAGAGGAAGGGCCATGTGAGGACTGCAGTGAGAGGATGTGAAGAGAGCCCTGCCAGGAACTGGATCAGCTCACACATTAGTCTTGGACTTACCAGCCTCCTTAACCATGAGAAACAAATTTCTTTGTTTAAGCCACCCAGTCGATGATACAGCTGACACTTAAATAACACAGGGTTAGGGGAGCCAGCCCCCTCCCTGCCACACAGTCAAAAATTCACATATAACTTTTCATTCCCCCAAAACTTTACTAACAGCCAACTACTGACCAGATATCTTACCAGTAACAATTAACATATATTTTTATATTATATGCTGTATTTTTATAATAAAGTGGGCAAGAGAAAAAATGTTATTAAGAAAATCAGGCTGGGCTTGGTGGCTCAGCTTGTAATCCCAGCACTTTGGGAGGCCAAGACCAGTGGACTACCTGAACCCGTGGGTTCAAGACCAGGCCGGGCAATCTGGCAAGACATTGTCTCTACAATAAAATAAAAAATTAGCCAGGTGTGGTAGCACCACTTTATGACTTCATGTATTCTTAATTACTTCCTTATTCCAAATACTGCAGCACTTGGGGTAAGGGGTGCAGTCACTTGAAAGGCTGAGGTAGAAGGATCGCCAGAGCCCAGCAGGTCGACACTGGGGTGGCTGTGAGCGTGCCAATGCACTTCAGCCTGGACGACGGAGTGAGACTCCAACTCAAAAAAAAAAAAGAAAATCATAAGGAAGAGAAAATATATTTACTATTCAGTAAGTAAAAGTGAATGAAAGTTTTCATCCTTGTCTTCACATTGAGTAGGTAGAGGAGGAGAAGGAGGAAGAGAGGTTGATCTTGCTGTATCGGGTGGTAGAGGTGAAAGAAAATCTACATATAAGTGGATCCATGCAGTACAACCCCATGTTGTTCAAGAGTCAACTGTATTTTGTTCTGACAGCCCAACCTAAGACAGTGTGTTTTGCAAAAGCACATATATGCACACTTTCATTATTTAAAGTTAAATGAATTTGGTACCATTTTAATATTAAAGAAACATTTAAATGGGCCAATAATTTGTCTAAGATTCGACTGTTAGCAAATGATATACCCAGGCCTTTTTTTTTTTTTTTTTTTTGAGTTGGAGTCTTACTCTGTCGCCCAGACTGGAGTGCAGTGGCCGCTCCTGGCCACCGCAACCTCGACCTGCTGGGCTCCGGGGATCCTTCCGCCTCAACCTTCCGAGTAGCCAGAATTACAGGCACGCACTACCACGCCCGGCTGATTTTTTTATTTATTGTAGAGATGAGGTCTCGCTGCCCAAGCGGGTCTCGAACCCGTGGGCTTAGATACCCAGGTCTTCTAACTAAGATAGGCATGGTACAAAACACGATGCAACTGATTCCACACAAGGTCTAATTTGTGGCAATCTTATAGCCTGACAACCATATCTCACACATAAAATCTTGCTTTCAAACAAGGATTTTTTTTTTTAATTTTCTGCAGAATTTACTACAGATCATGTCATAAAACAAAAGCAGATCATTCTTAAAGTGTCAAATTTGTGAGTTTATTAATCTAAATGAAAATATATGACCCCCATCACAAAGAGATAACCCTGAATCTACTTTGAAAATCTAATCAAAGAAGTATTATCTATGTGGAGACCATGTGTAGGTTATCATATTATACCAAATAGAGGGCTGTGGTCTTCACAGAACATACAAAGTCATTGGCAACCAACTGATCATGAGTATTCTAATATTTGGAGAAATATTGGGAAAACTAAAAAACTGCCCTGGCCATTGTTTATTGTTGCACATCCAGAAGCCTTACAGACCCAGCCGAGATTAGTTTGAAACAAGAGTCTTTTTTAATCCAGTAAATCTTCAGAGTCCAATACATTTAAGGCTAATCAGAGACTAAAGAACCTTTGTAGAGGTGAGTAGGCTCAGAAATCTGTGGGACCTGGGCAGTTCTATTATGAATCAGCATGTTCTGATCAAAGACATGGAATTACTCAAGTGTCTGTTAAGAATTTCTGGAAAGCACTTCAATGTCAATGACCACTAACACATTATTTCCTAATATGATGATTCCTGATCTGAGACAGAGGCATAAAAAATATTGCCGGCTATCAATTTTACTTCACTGCCTCTGTTCTCCAAAGAAAAAATCTTATTTTTTCCCATAAGAAACTCGCAGAATCAACTGAACGTTAATCAAAGAGCAGATAATTAAGTAAAAATGGAGAAGAGAGAACCTCTTGTTACATAGAAAATTGCATGAAATGATTCATCATCGTAAGAGAAGAACCATTTTTCCAGTAGCCCCACCACCGTGAATATTTTCATGAGCCCGGGCCACCTTTTCCAACGGATACCGAGAACCTATTACAGGTTTCAACCAACCAATTTCCATTCCAGCTTGAAGGGCGGTTGCAAATTGCTGAAATTCCTCCCTGGTTGAGGAAAAGAAATGAACTCCAATGATACTAGCCTCCTTGGCCATGGTATCCCGAGGGTTCTGTTGCCAACAACTATGACGCTTCCTCCGTATGACAGAAGATTCAAATCTTTACTAAGATTTACATTCGCAAACATTTCAATAATCACATCAATTCCTCTCTCACCAACAGATTTCTTAATTTTATCAATGTAGTTAACTTCTCGGTGATTAAACACTTCATAGGCTCCATTTTGCAAGACAACCTTCCGTCCCTCCTCAGTGCCAGCCGTGCCCAAAACCCTCAAGCCATAAGCTCTAGCAATCTGGACGCTGCTAAGCCAACTCCTCCGCTAGCCCCGTGAACCAGAACGCTCTAGCCAGCCTTCACGCGGGCACTGTGGATCAGAGCTCGAAACGCCGTGAAACATGGGACACCGATGGCCGCGCCTTGCTGGAAGTCCAGCTCGTCGGGCAGTTTGTAGACGGTGTGGTCTGCTGCCAGCGCGTACTCCGCGTAGCCCCCAGAGAGCGTGCTGGTCGTGAAAACCCTATCACCTAGCTTGACAGCAGACGCACGGTCTCCAATAGCTTCCACCACCCCAGCCACGTCGGAGTCAGGCGTGTAGGGCAGGGGTGGCTTCCTGCTGTACGTCCCGGAGCGATTGCACGTCTCCACGGGGTTCACAACACAGGCGTGGACCCTGATTAGAACCTGGTGGTCTTTTGGAATCGGACGGCTACATCCGACTGCAGTTTCAGGACTTCGGGTCCACCAAACTCAAACACTCTGACAGCTCTCATCAATCTCTGTCCAGTCGCCAAGGCGATCTAGATACCGGCCCCGAGGGCGAACCCCACGCTGCGCGGGCTCCTTCCCACAGCGCAAGGGAGGCCGGGCAGCCTCCAGGCCTGGCAGGCTCCGCCGCGCCCAAACAAGGATATTTTTTAAAAGTCACACTGAAAGATTTCCAATGATTAAATTTTAAAACGTGAAATTATAAAACAATTTTAGCTACGCTGCTTTAGAAATGTCCAAATATTCCCATACTATTCCCTAGTTTCACAGTCTACTCCTCCTCACAATGGAACTAGCAGTTCCCAAACATCAGGCCTCCTTGCCTGAACATCTCTCTCCTTACCTAACCAAACTCACTTTGGCTAACTTCTCCTAGCCATTCTTCAAGATTTGTGTCACTTCCTGAACAACATCTGAGCTACAGGGTCCTTCAGTGGAACACCACTACACACACTTCTCCCTTCTGGGCCATCTCTGCCGCTAACTTCAAGCACCTGGAGAGTAAGATCTGTGTCTTATCTGTTTATCTCCAGTGCTGACCACAGGGCCTGGAACAGAGAAGGTACCAATAATGCATTTTTTGCAAGGACCGAGTCTTGTTAAAACCTAAATTCAAATCTAAATCAAACTTAGTTTTGTTTAAGTCTAAGTTCCTATTTACTATTGAACAAGGCTATATGACGTTAAGCAATTCATTTAGCCCTTTACATTTCAATTTCCTATGTCTAAAATAGGAAAATTACTAACTGTGCTTCTTCCAAGATGTGCTGAGAATCAATGAAAATACTGTATAAGTGTTTTGAAAAATGTTAAGTATTATGCATGCAAAGGCAACTAGTAAGAGTAAATAAAATTCCTTTCTGATTGAACTACCTATTTGTCTAATACTTGAAAAAAATCCATTAACATTTTTAAAAACATTCT